TTAGTTTTGTGTGTGAAAATTAGAAGTTGCATAAAATACCCACTTCCCACGCAACAGAAAATCTGTTCCAACCCTATCGATTCCTTGCAAATTTATCCATTCTTGTTGTAGGCTACAACTTGATTTATTTCATGGGATAGGACCTGAATATTGTTTCCTTATCTCAGATGACCAATTTTGTTCAATCTACTTTTTCAGGCATGAATCAACTCTAGTTGCAGAAATGCTGACTCTTCTAATACAAATAGTGAGTGAAAGGAGGTTTTGTGGGCTAACTACCGTTGAATGTTTGCAAAGAGAGTTGGTATACAAGCTCTCTATAGGAGATGCCACTCGTAGTCAGCTGGTGAAATCTCTTCCTCGGGATCTTTCGAAAATTGGTAAACTTGAGGAGATATTGGAAACAATTGCAGAATATTCCCGTCCATCTGGCATGTCTCAGGTTGATTTTTCAATAGAAAAGTGAAACTTGCTTTTGTTGTTAACTAGAATAAACAGGCTGAGCACCCTAATTTCTTTGTGAATCTCAGGGAATGTATAAATTGCGATCTGCATATTGGAAAGATCTCGATTTATATCATCCTCGCTGGAACTCGAGAGACCTACAGGCTGCGGAAGAAAGATACTTTCGATTTTGTAATGTTTCTGCATTGACAACTCAGCTTCCTAAATGGACAAAGATTTATTACCCTCTCAGGGGAATATCTCAAATAGCTACTTGTAAAACACTCCTTCAAATTGTCCGTGCCATTCTTTTCTATGCTGTTTTCACTGATGAACTCACACCTTCTCGGGCTCCCGACCGAGTTCTTTTGAATGCCCTGCATTTACTGGCACTAGCCCTGGATGTCTGTCAAGTACAGAAGGAATATGGTGACCTATTATGTTATTCAAATGATGTGATTCCATTTTTGGCTTTTGCCAACGAAGAAATATGCATGAATAAGTTCGGTGATCAGAGTATGTTGTCACTTCTTGTCTTGTTGATGAGGATGCATGAGAAAGAAAATGCCGAGAACTTCACGGAACCTGGCAATTTCTGTCTCTCATCTTTAATACTGAATCTACTCAAGAAGTTTGCAGAGCTTGAACCTGGATGCATGACCTCATTGCATAAACTCGAACCTGAATTAGCATATCAACTTTCAGTATCCATTCATCGTGGTAATACTAATGACATGGCATCATCTTCTGATAGCGAAAAGCGCAAAACAAAGGCTCGAGAAAGACAAGCTGCTATATTGGTGAGAAGTTATTTTTGCTTTAAAATGGTTGCTGGTTATGCTAAAAGAGAAAATAGGATTCCCTGTTTAATTTTGGCATGATTTATTTTCCAAATTTGAGATGCAGGACGTGTATGGCATGCTTGAGGCTGTATATATTTTCACACAATCAGAATATTGACTATTCGAAATTTGTTATA